TCGACTTCATTCTTTAAACGTGAAATGAAGTTCTTTCTTCTTCTCTTTCCTTTACTCTGGCACTGGTCTGGAAAGAATGCCATCATCCATCTCTCTCAGCCCATTACCAAGGGAGGGTGGTGGGGTAGGGTGCGGGCACCTTTCAGATTGCCAGATTTATCATAAACAAAGAGCTCTTATCTGTCCATTGATACTACAGAGCTCTTGGTGTCCATGACCAATTTCTCTTCTAGTCCCAAGTGACCCCCTGACCTTAGGCATCACTTACAGAATCTGACTTTTACCTCCAGAACATCTAGTGCCCCGTTTTCATGATTATAACTGTACTCACCAATACAAATTTCTTAAGCAAAGCATAGTACATTTGCGTTCTGGTGTTCTTGTGATTATCTAAGTGAGATCTGTCTCCCATTACAAAAAAGATCTCACCAGCAGTACCCATCTTTAGAAGGCCAAAGTTGTTCTTGATAACAGGACATACCCTGGTTATCTTTCAGCTAAATAAGAAAATGTCTGAGCTGTGGTCAATGCCACTTACCGCACCTGGATTAATACTTCTGTGGAAGTTGAAACCTGGCTACATTAAACCACTGAAAAAGCACTTAAAAAAGTGACTCCTTCGGGGTACCTGGGGGGTTGAGTCAGTTTAGACTTCGGCTCAGGTCATGATCTCGCAGTTTGAGAGTTTGAGCCCCACATCAGGCTCTGTGTTGACAACTAGGAGCCTGGAGTCTGCTTCAGATTCTGTGTCTCCTTTTCTGCCCGTCTCCCACTCACACTGCTCCCTCCCCCGCAAAAAAATGAATAAACATTTAAAAAAATTACAAAAAAGAGTGACTTCTTCAATGGAGGTCTTTGAGTCATCTGAATTTGATTGGTTTTGGGTCTCGGGGACTATGGATCCAAAACACACTCCAGATCCCTGGAATTTTCCTGCTTAAAATGAGCACAGTAGTCTCCCCTGTGTACTGTATTCTCTCGAAAGCTTTAAATGCATGTTTGCAGCCTCCAACCACAAAGCAGATGAAGTCCCCAAGACTGGAACATCAGAAAGGAATGTCGACAATAACGGACTTAAAAAACAAAACAAAACAAAACAAAAAACGTGAACCCGAAGTTGTGACCTGTGAGTATCACAGAGATTCAGCAAAAAACGTCATGACTTGTGAGAACCACAAGGAACAGCAAAAACAGCAAGGATCTGAGCAGTAGCTGGGAGTGGTGCTAAGGTCTTGAACTGTGATCACATCTCAGTTGAGAGTCTGATCAAAAGGGGAGGGGGAATTGTGGGGCGCCTGGCTGGTGAAGTCAAGGAGCATACAACTCTTGATCTCAGGTCTATGAGTTCAAGCCCCGTGCTGGGTGTAGAGATTACTTAAATAGATAAATAACCTTTAAATAAAAGTAGGGGGAGAGATTAAAGTAAAAGACAACAGACCCAGAAGAGTCTAAATCCAAGTCACCAAATGGTAGTTAATATCTAACTCAATTATAGTTTCAACCTCTCCCAGGCATGGAATCTTAAGCCAGTAAATTTGGAATTACCAAGTCAGCACTAGTGAGTAATCTACCTGATAGACCCCTGCTATCCCTCAAAGGAAGGTGACCTTGCCCAAAACAATGTACTCTTTGCTATCATTAACTTCCTTGTTCCACCCCCTCTGGCCATAAAAGCCTCTCCCTTCTATCTATAAAAAGTTTTCATTTTGTACAGCTCTTCGGAGCTCCTTTCTATTTGATAGATGGGATGTTGCCTGATTCATGAATTCCTGGATAAAGCCAATAAGACCTTTAAAGTTTATTCAGTTGAATTTTGTTGTTCACAACATTGACATGTCACTAGGACCAAGGCCTGCCCTCCCAGGGACACCCAAGCAAGCGCCCCAAGGTCACGTCACAGGAAGGGTTTTACTTGCTGTTTGGTTTAGTGGCAGAGTCAAGGGAAAGCAAATGAAGGGCCTCTGAGCCCCAAAAATAAAAATCTAAGTGAAGACTAATATCTAACTCTAGAAGGAAAAGAGGAAATGAGCTCAAATCCTGAGGCCCCACCAAGAGACTCAGGAAGGGTTACCCGTAGAAATGGATCTCGTAGGGTTTCTTCATCACAGAAGCTTGGGTGCCCTGGGTTCTTCACCTCTCTCTGTGCTCACACACAAAGCAGGAGCTCTGGTGCCCTAAACTTCTGCAGAATCTTGTCCAGGAAAAGAGCTTGCTCCCAGGCCAACAGGCAGCAGTGGCTGAGGGAAGGCGGCAAGAGAGGGTGCGCTCGGCGAGCACAGGAAGCTCAGGCAGCGGCAGGAGCTCCTGGGGACTGCACAGCCTGCCTTAGCAGATGAGGACTTAGGGCCCCCGCACGGACCTAGATACCACCACTTGCAGAACGAAGAGCCCCTCCAACTGACCCTGGGGCCTAGAAAGCCCTGGGGAAGGCCGCACGAACAGTGCCCCACCAAGTCACATGTGACTTGCATGCTGCCAGCCTGCCAGGGCTGCAGAGAGGAGTCAGATGAGAAAAGAAAAGTGGCACTTGATGCGGCCTCTCTGCACAGAGGGGGTTTCTGGTGAGGTCAGCCGTGGCTTATTTTGCAAGGTGAGGGAGATTTTAAACTGGTTCCCTTAAGGTACTGCAGGTGTGGCGGGGAACGTCCCCCAAGCCTGGCCGACAGAACAGAAAGGAGGCCCCTGCACCTGTGTCCCACCTGACCGCTCCAGCTTCCCGGCCCAGGGGATGGGCAGGACCACACAAGAGCTGGCCCTGGTGTCAGTCACCAGGAGTTTAACAAGGGCCATGGCCTCCCCCATGCTTGTTTGGCAGTGACTCACCATCCAAGAAACACTTGAAAAGCTCTGGTGCAAATCTGCAGAGCAGATCTGAGCGGCCCAAAAAGGACTACTTCAGGGCCATGGCCTGTTAGGAGACCAACCCCCACTGTCCCCCCCCAATCTGGCTCCTGGGCAGGCCTGCCTCAGCTGTGGCAGATGTCCTGCCAATACGGGGTTCTGCTCTATTCAACCAGGATGCAGGAATACAATCAAGTGCAGGGTGAGCTAGAGCATAGGCCTTGCAAAGTGACAGCAGCCAATCAGATGTCATTAGGGTAAGAAAGTAACATTATAATGTTAGGATGCAGAGCTGGTGGGCTCTAGGGGTGCCAACACCAGGTGAAAACCCACCTCCATGGTGGCAAGGAGCATGCAGAGAGGGAAGCCCCAGAGATGCCATCTACCCCAGGCTACTAGACAAGAACAAGTTCAAAGCCAAGCAGGTGTGCTGAATGTTAATTCTTCGGTCTGCCGCTAACCCAGGGCACAGCTGCCCACTCGGGAGCCTCTAGGACCCGCAGCCTGCCTGTTGGCCAGTGCAGAGCCTCCTCTGCCCTGGCCCACAAGCCTCCTAAGTCTCTGGCAAGCCGCTTCGCTTATCTATTTACTTAATTGCTTCAAGGGCCGCCTTATTCCCATCCTGGGTCACATTGTGGGAGCAGGGTCCTCCAGTTAAGGGCCCTTGTGCATCCTAGCTCTGCTACACCAGGCTGTCCCTGTGAGGAGTCACCCTGCTCATCTCTGTATGGGACACAGGCACCTCTTGGGGTTGGTAACCAAAGAAGACAGCCAAGGGCTTAAAGGCCACCTCTCAGGCAACAGGTCAGCTTCCTTCTCCCTCTGCCTAGGAATCAGGCACATGTTTTCTGCTCTTTTTAAGACCAACAACTCTGGGCACCTCCTCCTTATTCTGGAGGTGGACCCACAAGTCCAAGGCCCTTTCTACCCGGGGCTTTGGGCGAGCAGGTGGGTATTAAGGGAGCAGTAGAGAAAGGCACCCTGCTCACAGTTGGCCCCTCAAGGGGGGCAGCTCACTGCCACCCTGGCCTGTCCCCACAGCATGCCCCAACTCTGAGCTTTACTTAGGCTTGGGCAGGGTGGGGATGACATTCTGTGAATGCAAGTTTGAACCTCTTTTTTGGAAAGTGAACTTCTTCGGGAACCCAATGAAAATTATGGATTTTTCTTTTCCCAGAAAAATGCATATGGACTCGCCAATCATTTAGAGAGGTTTACAGACCTCCAGCAGTTCGCTCCCGGACCTGGGTGAGATCCCGGTTGTCGAGCCTCCATTTACAGACTCAGGAATAGAAGCACCTATTGGAAGGGGGCACTCCAGTGCCGTGACCCAGGCCAGGGCCTCAGAGATGGAACCAAGCTCTTTCCACAGCTCTTGGGGAAGCACAGGACCAGTGGAACAAGAAAAAGGGAGGACAGAGCCTTCCTGTCTTCACACCACAGGTGAGCTGCATGCCTCTGTCGTAGGCCCCATCTCTAAACCCCATCTCTCCCCAGGAAGCTGTGGTTCTGCCAGCCTCCCCACTTCACATTTCTGCCAAGCCCAGGGGAAGACCCATGCTGCTGGGCACTCAGGAACCTTGGAGGCCATCTCTGCTTGCCTGGGACTTCCTGTGGCTGCCCACCCTTCCTTCTTCGGTGCCCTCCACCCGTGCCAGGAGTCTAAGGGCAAGGGGAGCCCCAACTGCACCTCTGGGCTCTTCCTGCCTCACAGGCACCTCCGAGAACAGTAATGGACCAGCCACATAAGGCCCAGGAGCCCTTAATGTCTCAGTGCTAGGAGGCACTCGCAGGAAGCAGCTGGCCTCCGGCCTAGATCTCTGGATGTCCACAGATCCTACATTTCTGGCTCCCGGGGGCTGAGTTCCGTGACCAGGGCCCGGGCTCAGAAAGGAAAGGCTCCCTACATGGTCTGAAAAGAAAGGAAGAGCAAGTGTGCTCCCCCAAGGAATGCTTCGGGAACATGTGTGCATGTGTGTGGGAGGTGAGGAGAAGAAATGTGTGTTAGAGTGTGTGTATGAGGAGAGTGTAAAAAGCATGTAAAAGAATACAGGTGTGTGTGTGTGTGTGTGTGTGTGTGTGTTTCTGTGTATGAGAGAAAGACTATAAAGGAGGGGGCGTGTGTCTGTGCACATGTGGCCCTCTAATCCCCTCCTTACCTCCGCTCGTTGCCAAACAGACGGGCCACCTCTTCCCTGCCAGGGCTCCGGGCCCGAGTCCTACGCTCCAGCCGCCTTCTCTCCACCTGGAAGGCTTCTCGGTGGCTGATCCTGACGGCCTTAGGGACGTCGGCCAGAGTGGCATACTGCCTGCTGGCTTTAAAGGCAAAGGTGCGCCCCAGTCTCTCTGCTCCCCGCCCCCCAGCACTGCTGGAATCCATGTGGGCGGGGGGCTGGCTGGCCACGTCCAGGGAGCTGCCGCAGACTGCTCGGCCGGGGAGTCGAGAACCTGGGGAAGGAAGGGGGTGGCCAAGCTCCTGGGAGGGCGGTCCGGGGCCACTATACCTGTTGTTGGGGGTGCTGGGGCTGGGAGGGGAGAGCGGTGGTGGCAGCTGCTGCTCTTCGGCCTTCAAGTCCTGCTTGGTCTTCTCCAGGGAGAAGTAGCCGCTCTCTACCCGGACTTTGCGGCCACAGTCCATGCGGTCGCTGCTCATGGTGCTCTCCTCTGGAAGAGAGAATGGGGAGGCGGGAGATACAGTTAGCCTGCTGCCATCTTTGGTTTCTGGGAACTTTCTGAAGTCATACATGGCTTGCCCTAGGGCAGAAGCATGGGAGGGGAATGAAATACCCTTCCCACACACGTTTCTCACCCATTTCTCTTCTAATCTGGCTGCCCCTGCTAGACTCAAGGGGGTCCTCGTGCTTCTAGTCAGGGGGCTAGTTTGGGGAGTAGGATCCCTTGCCCCGGAGAGATGTCCCACCAACAAGCGCTTCTTAGCAAACATCAAGGAGGAAACCAACAGCTGACTAGCTGTCTGGCCTTTTAGTATATCTGGGACAGCAGAGGCAGGGGACTTCAGCTGGCAGGAATGAGAGGAGTGGATGGGTGCTACCCATGGAGAACCGAGGCAAAATGTATTTTGGCCCAAATGAACTGGGTCAGTCCCAACCGTCTCCTGGTCTTTAATGAGCTGGACAAAATACAAATGGGAAAGGCCAGCCTATGTCATGCAGAGCCCTCAAGGGCCCAGACCAGGGAGGCAGAGACTGCCGCCCTGCTTCTGCGCAGGTAATTCCAAAGTGCTCAGTGAAGGGAACACGGCAAAGCCTCCGGAGCTCCCTCTTCCCTACCATGCCCAGGTGCTGGGCAGGATGGGGCAGTGAGGAGAAGGCTGTACTGACGACACACTGGGCTTCCGGGGTCAACCAGGCCATGGACACAATGCAGGCACAGTGACAGGAAGCAGCAGCCTCTTGGCACAGAGACCTTGTTCTGAAGTGGTTTGATTCTCACAACACCCACCTAGGGCTGACAGAGCAGGTGCTTGTCTTCTTCCTTTACAGATGGGATTTAAGAGCTAGAGGGACAAGGCCAAAGCCAGAGTCCAGGAATTCCAGGCCCACCCTGCCACGAGCTGACGGACACAGAAGGTGAAGGAGCCTGAGACTCAGGGCTCGGGATTGGGCTGCGCCAGTCCCTGAGTTCTCCACACCAGCTCTGTTGGGATGGAGGCCTATTCCAGAGCTGTGAGGTCAGGCGCCAGGACTCCCACTTACCATCTTTGCTCTCCAGCCCGGGTTCCCTCAGCGTGCTGGCAGCGGGAGGCTGGCTCTGGCTGGGACTCTGAGCTGGACTCAGGATGCTCCCGTCAGGCTGGTCCTTGGCCCTCATTTCTTCCTGCCAGAGTGTAGACTTGGTGGTGGGGACTTTCTCAGCACTGGGGATGCTGCTGCTGCTGCTGGTCACAGCCATCTTGGCTGGCCCTGGCTCCTAGGGGAGAGAGCAGCATCTGTGCAGCCGCAGAGGTATGCAGCCTGAGCTGCTGCACAGGTCCTGGCTGCCCGGGTGCCTGGCTACAGGGGCCACCAAGGTCAATCACACTGAGTGGCCCGAATCCTCGGAAGGGGAGGCTCCAAAAGGAGATATGTTGGTCAGGTGAAAGCTCCTGATGGCACTGTGGCTGTTTCCCTTCGACAGCTGCCAGCACGCCCAGACTGCCTGGTCCGCTTGGCCTCAGGCCAGGTCTGGCAAATACATAGAGCCTGGAGCTCCGACAGCAAACACACGCTGGTTCTCCCTGCCCACAAAACCACAAAGCCCAGAGCAGCGGACCAGCCAGTGAAGGTGAGATGACAAGTGGCTGCCTCAGTCTGTCATTCCTAGACTTGTAGGTGCTTAGGACATGCGTCAGGAAAGATGGGACGGGGTGAGGAAAGGACACACCATCGAGACGGCCCATTGGGAAAATGCAAAGCATGTGTTCACACAACACCCATGTCGGGGCCAGCCCGTGCCTCCTCTCCCCTATCTGGTCCGAGAAAGCTCAAACAAGACATCTGGGACACTGGGTGAAGGAAACAGTCATGAGATACACACTAAACATCCAATCTACATGCACGCCCTCCCACCTCCCCACCCACACGAGCCCAGATGGGAGCTGGTGCTGCTCTGTGGGAGAAGCATTCACGTGGGAGGTACTTAGCCAGATACAGAGAATCCATTTCCAGAGCACGCACAGAGCTATAACTCAGCCTCAAACCTAGAGCCCGGACAAGGGCACGGCTGGGATCTCTAGCTGCCCGACAGCACTAGCTCACCTGTGCTCGGCCCAAGGTCCTGGGCATCAGCTTCAGAGGGCACCGCAACCAAGAGGGCTTTGCTCTCAAAAACGAGATACGTCTCAGCTGTCTTCCCCCAAAAACATGGCGATAATGTACAAATGCCCACCTTCCAGTCCCATCCTGGTGGCCAAGTCTCATTGTTAGAAACCCAGCTTAACCCAACCCTGAGTTGGGGCCCCTGGTGAGGATTACAGATGACACAGGTGTTGTGTCTGTGTGTGTGGACACACAGATCCAGGATTAACCACCGGCTTAGCTGACAGCCATGGGGCACGGACCATTTGCCGGGCTCTGGTACATCACTGTACCATCCAGTCCTCACCAACACACCGCACAGTGGGGGATGCCTGGGCTGAGAGGCCATGCTCGCATGGCCAGTAAGGGGCAGAGTGGGGCTTCAAGCCTTTTCTACCACCAGGCACCCTCAGGAACGCCAGGGGGTGGGAGGATGCTTTGGATGGGCATCCTAAGGGACCCAACGAAAAGCTCAGGCACCAGGTAACTCAATGTGAAAAAACAGGCATTTCACCAGGTCCCAGGCTTTCCTTAGTTTTGCAAGGATTCCAGGCTTCATGGGCAGGATAGACAGGAAGCATCTTCCCACAGACCCAGGACACACCCAACTGCCCAACAGAGCTGTCAACAGACCTGGCTCTCAAGGCTGAAGATTCCCTACAGCTCTGACCCACCTTGGAAGAAGTGGACTTCTTAGAAGAAAATGGCAACGGTTTCTGACAGTTTCCTGAGGGCTCCAACAGAACGATGCTCTAATGATCTAAGAAGCGCCGGCCTCATGGCCACCCGTCCCTCTGGTCAGCCCGCTGCCCCAATCCACATCCCAGCAATGCATCCCTCAAGCAGAAGTCTCTCCAGGTCCCCCTGCTATGGCTCCTTCCAACAGTTAAGCCTTCTCTTCAAAGGCCAGAGGCCAGGCATGCTCTGGTGGGCTCAGGGTGGAGCTGGGACTCCTCCTATAGAACTGCGTGAGGTGCCGTCCCCTCTGTGGAAGGCCAGCTGCACCAAGGATGGGGAGCAGTTGCCCAAAAGGGCCCAAGAGGGAGAGGCAGCGGCTGTGCTTGTGAAGGAAGTGGCCGTGGCTGCCGTGGCCGTCAGCCCCATGCGTGGGTGAAGGGCCCACGGCTTAGGTACACCCTACTCTGACTCTGGGTGACACCAGCACTGAGGTGGCGGGCCGCCAGGGATTCCCAAGAGACCAAGGAAATTCTAGGCTTGAGATCCAAGAGGCCACGACAGGGAGCTTGGGAAACAAATGCATTTCCCAGCACCTCGTGGCTACAGACCCACCTTCCGGCCCTGGGCCTCCCAACCTGTGAGGGCTGGTTGCATCTGCAGATCCCTCCTCGTGCTCCCTACTTCTGGAAAATGCCTCCCAGAGAATGAGCACCCTGAATGGAAGCCAAGGTCCACAGGCAGTTCCTTCTCTCTTCCTTTGGAGACTCTGCTTTCTCTTGCCTCTATGCCAAGCCTTATCAAGTTAGTGGAGACAGAGGGCCAGTCTGGCAGCAGAAACAAAGCCACGCAGGCTTCCTGGAGAGGGGGTTCGGTGGGTGATAATAGGGAAGGCTGATCTCTGGGTAAAGTTGCTTCTCTTCTCCAAAGCGGATGTGTGGTGGGTAAGACTTGGCCCACGTCAGGGCTGTGTGGCACTGCCTCTGCTACCCACACTGTCGCTGCTGTGGTGGAGAGGGTGTTGGGATTCACAATGATAGAGAACACAATTGCCTGTGGAAGAGGGAGGAGGCGAAGAGCCAGGTTTCCTATGTGCTAGTCCCTGCATGGTCGTAGGGCCTGCCTGCTCAGGGCTCTCAGCGTTTCACTGCTGTAATGAGGTCTGTGCTGTTCATCTGGCAGCTCAGGAAGGGTTTTGAAAGGAGGGAGGAAAGAGGAAACAGAGCAGAAAGGCAGTCTCAGGCCAAGGGGCCGCTGGAGCCTTTGCGTGCTAGCTAAGCAGGCGACCTCTCCAGAGGTTTTATAGAAAGCCTTCCTTTCTACTTCCAGGGCATAGGAGAAGCAGGACCCAATGAAAAGAAGGATGTGACCTGGAATAGCCACCCAAGGAGAAAACAAGACAGCCAAGAAGAAGTGGAAACTCACAACACATGTGTGGGCCTGAAAAGAACCAGTATACTGGACCAGAACGGACATTCCTCCCGGGGTGCCTCTGCTCACACTGAGAGGGGTCTGTTGTTTTATAGGTCGCTCAAGGAAGGCTCAGAAGCAATGGCCAAGAGCTGGAGGGCTGGGGAGATGGGAGAAACCAGCATTCCAGAACTCCAGTGGATGAATCAGTATCTCTCAGGCCTCAGGCTTTGGAGGCTCTGGCTGGGGCGGCCTGACTGCCTGCTGCCCTGGGCTCTGCTGGGCCCCATGCCCCAAGCCTAGAGGGTGTCTGCTCCTCCTGCAGCCTGACCCTCATCTTCCCTCAGGGCGTGGGTCTCTCTCTGATGCTCTCAGGAAACCACTCTGAGTGTACTCTCCATGGCCCCAAGTCTCAATTGCCTGAGACATCCTTCTTAAAGTGGGGCTCTGTGGGCTCTCCCCTGAGTTTCTTTCTGGAGGACAGGGCACAGCACAGCAACACTTCCAGACCCCCACTGGTTTTATCTGAAACTCCCAGACCACAGAGAAAGAGGCCAGATACGGGGTCTTGGGTTCCTGCCTTGATTGGGGGCCCCCAAGGCTTTCTGCTTCCCTTACTGCTACCTTTAGGGTAACAAAACACCTTCAGCATCAGGCTCTGGAGGTAAAACCTGCCCAAAAATCCCCATCTCTCCTCTGGAAAGACTCCACATCACTTCGTGAGACTGACTCACAAGGAGATGGATCCCAGATCAAAGTTCACAGCTTCCAGGAACCAGTGGAATCAAATGTGATACTCTTGGGAACAAGGGGCAGAAAGAAGAGCCCCTGCCAGGCTGGCTTCTGCTGGGGCTTAGGAAGGGGTGAGCAGAGCAGGCTGGGACACCTACGCTCTAAGAGACCCTCAGGAAAGCGGGGATCTCCCCACCCTGTGATCACGTGGCTCCTGCTACCAACGGAAAAGGTGAAGCTCGACCATGGCCAGTAGTACTTAAAGAGAGGGGACAGCCGGTACATAAGCAACTTCCCTGGTCTGGGCCGAACGTGTCTGCTGCGCATGTAGTTGCCTTATTTGGAGGCCGGAGCTCTGCTCTAGCAATGCTCCCAAGACATCACTATAGAAACGCAGGGTAACCCTAAACGCTGTTATTCTGCCTGCAGTTTTTTTCTCTCACACAAGGCAGCTTTGGGGGATTTGTGTGTATCCGCTGTTTCCCAGTAGGAAGCCCCATTTTCAGTCTCCAGGAATGATTCTGGCTGCATTTTGCTGACTTCCTGCCAGGTATACTACCTTCCAAGGATGCTGGCCTGGGACTCCTTGGGAAGGGTGGACAGACAGCAGACAACCATTGGCTGAGAGCAGGCCCAGGGCTGCACTCCATCAGGGCCTGTGCAAGGAAGCCCATGATGGGTGCGCGAGGGTGGGGAACCCAGGCCAGCACACACCTCCCGGTCCTGTCCAGGCTAACCTCTGCCACTCAGAGAAGCAGAGAGCAGCCAGTAAGGATTGCGGAGCCCCAGTGGGTAGCCAGGTCCTGTCATGGGCTGGCTCTCTGCCAGACTCTGAGCCTTGCGTGATCCCAAGGGAACCTGATCCCCATTCTGCTCACTTTTAGGGTTGCTGTGAGGATCGATCAGGCAGGGTAAAGCACTCAGCAACTGTGGAGTTTGGAGCAGAGAGGAAAAGCATTCACTGAGAGCCCATCATGGGCTCAGTGCTTCCTTTCACGCCCACAATGATTCTATAACCAGATCTCAAAGGGTCCGTTCTATGATCAGTTCACTGAGCTCAGAAAGGTTAATTTGCTCCATCAGGGCCCCAGGAGTGTGAGGAACATGGCAGGGAAGTGCCTAGCCCTTCTGGGGGCCCTGTGTCCTTGCAGAGGACGAAGAGTGTGGCCTTTGGGGAAGGAATGGACCTGGTGGGACTATCCGAGCCACCTTCCACTCTGGTCACATGAGACGTAGGACAGAACAAAAGTCAGGGTTGTACCAAGTTTTTTCCATTTACAGTCCAAGTCCAGTGCAGGAACAGTCCCTGCCTGGCCCTGCTTCCCAGCCTGCTGTCTGTAGGATCATCCCTGTGTGTCAAGTAGAGCTGAACCGAGGCCCTTCCTCAACTGTGGTGTGCGAGGACACGTGTGCAGCAAGCAGCCTCCCAAGCATGCCATGTGCTCCCTAGCAGCTGGCAGGAGAGCCGCAGAAGGGACACTTGCTGTCATACTGCAGCTCAGCACCAGTCCACTCACTGGAAACCTCCTGGGGCAGCCCCAGGGCATAGGCATAGGCCGCCCTGGCCCGTGGAGGGTCCTGCCCTGTGGCTTGGAGGAGCGTACCGATTGCAGCCCACACACACTGGAGGGAAAGACAGGACACGCAGGGCTGATGGCCATCTCAGCCCCCATATGGATCCTTTTCATCAGCGCTAGTTTAGGCTGGTTCCCCTCGGGGAGCTCTCACTTCATCCCAGCTCCACTCAAGTGAAACCGCTCTGCCTACCTGTGGTGTGGGAGGCTCCACCTTCCGCTTTTTCTTTTGGTTCTGCTTATTGGTTCTGGGATAGACCATGAGCATCTCCAGCCATCTGGGGAGAGAAGAGAAGGGAGCACTGGATCAGACCCCTACTCTCGAGGACTGGGAGCCTTGTCAGGTGGTCTAGACACCAGGTCCAATGCTTCCTGTCCAGGGCCAATGCTCCCAGGCCTCTGGGCAGCCAAGCAGGGCAGAGCACGACCCAGTTTCAAGCCAATACCACTGGGGCAGAAGAGTCAGCAGTGCAGCCCAGGATAAGCACAGGGTGTGCCGGAACCTGGCCCAGATGCTGACCCCACAATGACCAGAGTGCAGGTGGGGAGGGCCGTGTGGCCAGCCCAGGCACAAGAAATGCTTCACCCTGGCGGGGTGGCAGGCCTGCACCACAGGCCTCAGAGTGCGGAACACATCACTGTTTCCATCACTGATCCTATCTTCAGGGACTAGACTTGGGTTTTTGTTGTTGTTTTTTTATTTTTTAAATGTTTTATTTATTTTTGAGAGAGAGAGATAAGAGACAGCATGAGCTGGGGAGGGTCAGGAAGAGATGGAGACACAGAATCTGAAGACAGGCTCCAAGCTCGGAGCTAGTTGTCAGCAGAGCCCGTCGTGGGGCTCGAACCCACAAACCATGAAATGATAACCTGAGCTGAAGTTAGACGCTCAACCGACTGAGCCACTCAGGTGCCTCTAGACTTGGTTTTAAAATTGTCCTCTCAGCGAGGATTTGGCTAGCGTACAGATAGGCTGCTGCTAGGTGTCCTTTAAGGCTATAGAGGCAGGAATCAGGAGCTATGCTCCTGAAATTCTCTGCAGTAGGTCACTTCCAGGGGCTGAGCAGCTGACCTCCTAGACTTTGCTCACCTCTGGGCCCCACCACCTGCACATAGAGCGCTCTGGGGGCCTCGGCCTTGGGGAAGGCCCAGCAGAGTTGCCCAGGCACCCACCCCAAGGCCCACACGTTGGAAGACCACTATGGACCAGTAGCAGAGAAGACAGCAGGGGAGTGTGGGAAGAGCAGCGGCTGAAGGCAGGAGGCTTCATGCAGGTCTGGCTCTGCTACTCTCTAACCATGACCTTGGGTGCCTCCCTGCCCCTCCAGGCTTCAGTCTCCCCACCTGTGGAACCAGGGGGTGGATTAGGCTGTGACACATCTCCCGCTGGCCTCACCTGAGCTTCATTAACATCTGGGAGGGTTCGATGAGGGGGGACAGGAGGAGTGGAGGGCAGGAGGAACCCAGTGATGAAGGGCACTCTCTCTAGAGGGGAAAGAACAGCAGGAGACTCCAGACTCCCTTCTTCCTGGGACAGGAGGGTCCGTGTCAGGCCAGCAGCAGTGGCTGAGTGGCAATGTGAGGTAGGGCCCGCACTGCCAGCATCCTGGCCGGAGGCTGCAGCAACCACCAGTACCCGAGCCTGGGTCAGGAAGAAGGGCTCACGTCTTTCACACTTGCAGGTGCTTCTTTAATTTGGGGTGGAGGAGGGGAGGCTGGCCACAGTCCATGACCTTGTAGGACAGCCACAGGAGGGTGTGCCGGTTAGCAGCTGGCAGCGGGAAACGGCTAGGGTGTGGGGAATCACAGCACCTGGGCAGAGCCCAGCTCAGCTCAGAGCAGGCAATTCTCCGTTTTCTGAGAGAACAAACTGCCAGCACCACAGAGACCTAAGGAGCAGGTCCTGCAGGTCACTCCTCTGCAGGCTGGTCCCAGAGCAAGAACAGAGGCCATGACTATATCTGCAAGGCCAGCAGATGAGCGGACTCTGAGGGCCCCACTCATGTAATCTGAGGAACTCACATGGCCCTAGGTTTACAAGACCCACTTCCCAGCCTGTCACAGGGGCTGACAATTCTTTGGGCACTCCAACAACCTATGTCTGCTGAAGAGCCCTCTCATAGCCTCACTCAGGACAGGAGAAGAGACTGCGCAGACAAAGTCACCTGGTCTTCCAGGGCCCCAGGAACACGGGGAGTGTGGCAGTTATGTGCAGACCCTGGGGGTTGCCCTGGGCCCTGCCCATGACCCATGTAGGACAGGGCCCTAAGGAAAGAGATCTGTGCTGGAGACTCAGGGGCTGAGCACAGGCAGGGGCGGGCTGGGCTTGGAATGTGTCCTCTGAACTTGGACTTCTCACAGAAGCCCAGCAGGAAGCATGTCACGTCATTCAGATGTGTTACTATGTAAAATATAACCAGGGCAGAGAAGAGGCAAGGGGCAAGTATGGACACGGGATCAGTCATGGATGTGAGTGCCAGGGATGTGGCAGAGCGTTCCCCAACTCTGACAGCAGAGCCAGGGTGAATAAGACTGAGGGGGACAGAGCCGAAAGGCAGGGGCACAGAGAAGGGGGAAAGCTCGAACTCAGCCCACCTGGAGAGCGCGGAAGAGCCCCCTCCCCACCAGCTCCTGCTTACATCCCAACTCTTCTAAGAGAGCAGCATTAAGCTGTGCCCCAAACATCCTGAAGGCTCCTTCTGGCACAAGAGAGCTGGCAAAGAGAACTGCCGACTCTCTCCATCCGGTTCTGGGAGAGATGCCACAGGCTGCTCGGCGTCCTCTGTTCAGAGAAGACCCCGCGAAGAAGGTTGGATGGACTGTCCCCAACTGCTCCTGCTCTAAGTCAGCCCAGAGCAAGCGTCTGCTGCTCATTAGGGAGCTTCATACTTGGACCCATCTCAGGGTCTCAGGGCCCAGATGAGATTACCTGGGCAAAGGAGCCGTGCCAGGTGGTGAGGATGCCCAGTGGGGGTCCATCCACCAAGGCGAGAGGCAGACGAGGGGGAGAAGATGGAAACAGAAGTCTATACCCAGGGGACATTGCCCCAACTGTCCCCTTGAAGGAGGCTAAATGTCCCATCAGGTGGCAAAGATGGGGAAGCTGTTGCCTAGGGGCCCAGGGGCAGGCTGCCCGGCAGGCAAGGGCAAGTAAGGCCCAGACCCAGGATGAGGAGAGAGCAAAGCGCTGGGTGACTTTGGCTCCGGCTATGCCACTGGGCCACCGCACAAACCTCCTCCCCTCCTGACAGCCCAGCCTACATGTGGGACCCTGAGAGAACGTGCATCTGGTACTGTGGTCCACCAATGACCTTGTCTACCCATGCTGCATGGGAATGGCAGTCCCCAGTCCCCATACAGGCGGTGACCTTAGGAGATCCCCTGGCCTGTGGCAAGTGCCTAATGGTACGATTCAGGCCACCTGCCAGAGACACTATTAGATGCCAGTTTCCTAATGCCATGTGGCATATCATTACATCCCTGACCTGGTCCCCCAGTCACATGTGACTCAGCCTGTCCTGGGGACCTTGGACATCCCTTTCGCATCCCACCTGCTAATCAGAACCCTCCACAGGACCTAGCTCCCAAGGCTAGATCTCCTCCAAGGAATCCAGCTGGGCAGTGGAGCCTTGGCCTAAAGTGTTTCCGTCAGACAGGCAGCAGCACCAACTGTGAGCCAGAAAGTACAAGTGGTTCTTCTGTGCTGTCACTCAGGCCTGGAGGGTGGCCCTCGGTCAAAGTCCTCTCATTTCTAGAGCTTTAGTCTCCCAACTGTAGGATGAGGGCTCTCTCTGTAAAAGACCTCTATATTCTTCTTAAGTTTTTGAAAGTTGAGCTCAAACCCATGGCCCCAAGATCAAGAATCGCAAGCTCCTCTGACTGAGCCAGCCAGTGCCCCACGCTCTCTACATTCTTAAACCATATGATTCTGGAATTAAGGCCAGGGATAGGCAGAGGCAAAGTGGTCCTCCTGTTTGCCCCCAGGAGTTAGAAATGTAAACCTGCCTCTCCCCAAGGGAAAAGGACTCAGGGTGAACGGACACCCCAGCATAGGTCACCTGGTCACGCTGCAGGGCAGCTCTGGCCCCCTGCTCCCCCTTATCACAGAGTGGACTTGACCTTAGAACTCGGCCAAAACTGGGTACCTCTGACCATTGTCCTTGCTTCCTCATACAGCAGCCTTGGCCTGAGATCCTGAAGGATAGTGAAGCCCAGGCCAGTGCTTAGAGTCTTTTTACTCACTGAAACCAAAAGGCTTCACGCTGTATTTCCCTCTACTCTGCACTGCAACAATCAGCTCAAGACCCCTAACCCCTCAGGTTTACCTTCTCTCAGAGCTTTCTCGGTCTTAAAAGACCAAGGGGATTTTCTAAGACCTGGTGCCCAAGCTCCTGGCAGGGCTAGTGGAGCCTGCTCACTATGCACGTACTGTGTGGCGGTTGCATGGAGCTGCTTAGCGGTGCCCCGGGAGCAGGGACTTGCCACATGGGCTCAGGAGCACGGAGCTCTGCTGCTCTAGACTGCCGGCCTGAAAATCGGGGCTCCCTCCCGCTTCCCAGTATTCCCCCTAAGCCTCTGCACAGGGCAAGATCAGGGCAGTGGTGTGACTCAGAGATGTTCCTCCCACCTGGACAAAGAAGCCAATGCATGCAGCAGCACTGGAGTGACGGCTGTGTACAGGTATTGGGGACAGCGAGCGAGGCACAGCCTCCCCCTCAGGGACTTGCTGCTGGCTAAGGAAGCCCCATGTGCGCACAAACAATCTGCATCTCTTGTAAGAGCCAGCTGATTGTGCCAGGTGCCTCAGACTCTCCTAGCCTAAGGATGGAGGGATCATTCCAGATTGAAGGCAGGGTGGCAGTGAACGCACAGAACTAGTGGGCAGCATGGCCATATGTGGTGACAAGCAGCTCAGTGCTGAGGGACACAAGGGTGGTGGAGGTGAGGCTGGAGGGCTGTGAAGGGTCCCCTCCAGAGCCAACCAAGGAACTTGGACTTGCCTGCCAAGTAATGGGGTTTTAGGGAGGAGAGAGGCAAAGTCAGATGAGCTCTGGGGACTGAACCCCTCACGGTTGAGTGACACAGGTGGGGGAGGTGTGCGACACAGGTTGGGGAGGTGTGAGAATGGAGGTGGGGAGACCAGTGAGAGGCCTAAAGACGACGAGGCAGCCCCGGAACCGGGCACTGCCAGCAGAGGGAGGCGCCTGAGTACACAGGACATGAGGAGACAACCTTGGCGAGTCTGTGGACATGGGGGTGACGCAAAGGCTGGGGGAAGGTGAGGCCAGTTTCTGGCGTGGTGACCAGTTTCTGTGAGGGCCCAGAAGCAGGGACACATTTGATGAAGAAAGGGATGGCAATATTGCCCAATTTGTGCCAAAGGGAACTGGTTTGAGAACCCGCTGGGGGGCAGGCGCCTCCTCCCAAAGTGTGTGGGGCAGACTCACCCGCTGATGATCTCCTTGGTCTCTGCCCGGATGAAATGCTCCTTCTCAGGGGTCAGAATGCACAGAGAGAACTTCTGGCCTGTCCGGGCCTCCCCATCCACCACATCTGTGCACTGGTTCATGTTGATGGTGCCCTGAGGCAGGGTTGTGGGCTGCAGGAAGAAGATGGCGCAGGGGGTCGCTCAGAGGCCAGCACTCATGGGTCAGAGTAAGGCAGCATGGCCTGTCCCTGTAGCCCCAGGCCCTCTCAACCATGTCGCCTCAACAGGCACCCGAACCTCTCGCGGCTGTGTGGATCCCCAAATACAACAGAGGCACCATGGCCCCACTTCCTCCCTACCTATCCCCAGGGAGGAGAGGGGACAGGTCTGTTCTTCTCGGAGGACAGCCAGCTGGACGTTCCTTCCTGGCTGGAGAACAATATCCCAGCTGGCACTGGGGGAAGGGCGAGAGACAGGAAGGGGACAGCTCTGCGAGGACAGCTGGGACGACAGAGGCGGCCCAGAGCCAGGTCTCACAGGAGCAGTGAGAAAAGGCTCCAGAGGAGGTGGTTCCAAAATAGCAAGGTTATTTTTAGAGGCAAGGAGGGGGCCAGAGAGAAGCCATATCCTGGAAGGCAGGCTGGGGGCTGGTAGCCTGGAACCACACATGTCCTGAATGTTTTAAGGTAGGCCAAGCCCACTAGGGGCAGGTGCCCCACCGCCTCCCCCGAGGAGGTGCACGAGGAGTTGCTACAAGGCCACCTGGTCAGCGCTGGCATAACAAATAATAACTTTTTTTTCTTTCATTTTCTGACACTTTTCTCACTGGTCTATGCCCTTGCACCAATACCTTCTACACTATAACATACGTAACACACACAGGTAAGTTAAATGGGGATGATAAAAACACAGCAACAGAAATCCTAATACTGTCTTCTCACTGTACCACCTCGTGGGCTCACCTTTAGAGACTACTGTTCCGGGGCTCAGGTCACGAAACTGCTCACTGTCCCCTCTTGCACGGTAATTGTGTTTACTGGACACGTGACCACCAGCCACCAGCAAAATTTCCCAGCTAGCCCCGCAGCAGAACGAGGTCATGCTGGTCATTCAGCCATACCCTAAGAATTCCTACAACCTCTTTGTGCTTCAGTTTTGTGTGTGTGCAAAATGGGGTCTTGATTCTCCTTCCAGAAGAGCTTTTAGAAGTGTCAATAAAAGGCAAAGCCATAACAAGCTATGGCCAAAGAAAATGAATGCTTATTTACTATCTGTGCGTCAGGATCTCATAATTACAACCTATTCCATGCCTCCTTAAGTATTACTTACGAGGCAGGCATTATCTAATCCTATTAGACACGTGGAAAAAGGGAGCAGAGTCAACAGCAGTCAAAAGAGAAGGAAGAACTGAAAAGTAATCCAGGTTCCTACTCACAGGCACTGTGAAAATAGTTCCACCTGAGTCTCCACAGTTCCACCTGTGGGGGAAGCCTCACCAGCACCAGCGTGACCTGCTGTGAAGGTGCTCACTTTGCCTGAGGGTCACTGAATGCCAGGCCCAGGGCCAGTGTGTCCTCTTACTGATACTCCCACAGCCAATACCCAATCCGCATCTGCTCTTTCACTAGTCCACAGATGAACCACAGACTGGTTCAACCAAGGGTCTCCAGAGAGCTCCCAGGCTCGATGGCCATCCCCACCTCAGGGCAGGGACAGGCCACACCCTTCTGCATTCTCAGAGCTGACGAGAGAAAAAAAGAGCCTTGACAATCCATTCCCTGGCTCGACCAAGGCCTCGTGCTTAGAAAGCAAGGGCAGATATCTAGGGTGCAATCCACAACCAGCCAGAGGGAACCCCTCACCCCAACACTGTCAGCAGAAAGGCCAGCTCCCTGACAAGCTCCCTGCTCACTCTGCACCTCTAGAGGTCAGGAATCCAGGTCTCCTACGACGCTGAGTGGCGCCTAACAGTTTTGCTCAATTTCAAAAAAGAGATGGCAGTCTGCAGGCCATCCAACTCTGCTCTGCAGCCAGGTTATGGGTCCTCAGCCAGCAAAGTCACCAGATGCTCTCCGGCCACCTGGGGGCTCTGGTCCTCTTCTGGCCTCCACACACAGCAGCTAAAATGGCAGAGCTGCATCAGTGTCAACTGACCCCAAGGCCAAAGACCACGTAAGCATAAAGTGACCAAGCAGGACAGCCAAGTTAAAGGCCTCTCTCTAGGGATGTGACCACACCCTGCTGAGAGCCCAGCCCTTAGTCATTTGCCCCCTGGCCCACAAAAGGCCAAGGGAGCCTCTGCCCACTACAGCCGGGCACCTGCCAGAGGCTTGCTTTGTAAGATCCTGCCACAGCAGCCTTACCACCTGGAGACCCCCACCCCCAACCCATGCACTTTAAGGAAAACAGGCCTCCTCCACTTCTTGTTGGATCTAGAAGTTTCAGACGGCAAGTTTCTAAGAGCCAGAGGGAAAGAAGAGAAAAGTAGGACAGATGTACAAGGAGGGGCCATTAAGAGCTATTATGGGGGCCCTTTCCTCTAGGCAGCTGTGCTTACAGAACCAGGCAAGACTTGGATGGAATGGGACTACTCCAATTTACCCCCCAAACAGAGACAAAGGCTTTCTCCCAGGGCAAAGAAGTGCTCACAAAATCTTAACTCAGTGTGCAGGTCTTGCAATAGTTGATGTATTTCAAACTAATCTGCCCATGACTGACAGAGAACAGTGCCTTTCACTTTGGGAAGAAGAGTTGTAAGAGCACATGCACACAGAATGAAAAATTATGGACAATCCTTTCACTGCATGCACTGCATTCTGTATTATGTTCTCTCATGCTCCCCACGACCCACTTCAGGAGTAGGAAAAGCAGTGTTGCCTGGTGACAGGGGTCAGCCAGCATGTCTGCTCGCTGCCAGAAGCAGGAGTGGAGTGTGCTCCAGGAAGAACAAGAAGACCACCTTTCAGTAGGAGCTGCTGTGTTAAGTATAATATTAATTGTCTTCCAGGGTTGGGCAGGGCTCTGAATAAGCAGTTAAAGGTTCACCCTGATGACAGCCACAGGAGGAAGGCACTCTGACAGGCTTGACACCCAGAGGTACAAGCTGGGGCTCAGAGTGGTAAAGGGGTCTGGGGTCACCCAGAACAAGGGTGCCCAGGGTTACTGCAGAAAGCGTCGGCAGGCAGGATCAGGGAAAGCCTACATAGGAGCACACCCTCCCCCACCCTCCCCAGAGGTGACGATAATGGCTCCCACAAGCTCCTGTACAGAGGCCTCTGGGTGGCCACACCGGAGGCTTGGTCAGGCCGCTTAAGCCCGGTCCAAGGAGAGAGCACATCCTTTCTCTGGGATTAAGGAAGTTAGATTTGAATTTCCTACAAGGAAATTCAAGGAAATACAAGGAAAGTGGCCCCTGGGGAGCTTGGCTAAGTACTGCAGCCCATCCCAGGCACTGCTGGACCCCCATGCCGTGAGAGGAACATGCGCTGGACAGGATCACAGAGACCGTCTCTTGGCTCTTCCTGCTACTGCCAAGTTGCTCAGAGTCCTCAAAGTCCTGAATCTAATGAATCGTGAATCCATCTCTAAAGAGGTGGGACACCAAATGCCATCCAGGTGTAGAATGGGCCACCTGTTTCTCAGCCCTCCAAGGCCACATTTCTCCCTACGAGCAGCTCTCTTTACACGAATATCCTCAAAGTCCAGGTTCTCAAAGGACACTGGCAAGACCCATGGAAAAGGGGTCTTAAGACACACCCATGAACCCATCCAAAACTGGAGTGAACCCAAACCCCCGCCTAATCCCTCCGACAGCTCAGAGAGGCCTTCCACCAACCTCGGCCAGGGGCCTCAGGGCAGTGGGGATGGACAAGGGGCCCCAGTAGGTGCCCACCACACACTTCTCTCCCCCCGTGCCTTGCCTGGCAAGAAGCCAGCGAAGTCCCCCAGCCAGGCGTGTGGCCAGCATCCCATGTATTCCACAGTCCTCGTGGTCTGTGGGGCAGCTCACAACCGTCCTTCAGGCCGTGGTCCCGCCACAAGTCCTCAGGCACCAAGTCTGTTTCCATGGCCTCATAATGGCCTCCTCTGGAGGGAGCTGGGACTCTGCACCCCTCTCTGCCCTTTAGGGACTCCAACATGAAACCTGACTGCTGTAGTCTGCCTATAGGAGGAGGCCGGGCCAGCCAGGCTGGGGGGTACAGCATGAGGGCCTGTCACCTTTGAAGCCATTGCCCCAGGAGAGGAGGAGCCAGATGAGTGCACTCCCAGCCCCTTCTTCCCCACAAAGGCTCAGAGACCTAATGTAGCCTCGGCTTTATGTTTCTAGAACCCACGAGCCAAGAAGAGCACCACCTCTGGGACAGAATCCTAGCTCTGCCACTCACCACACTAAGTCACCTTGGGCAAGCTGCCAATTTTAAGCCTCAGTTTCCACAAGTGTAAAATGGGTGTAATGGTTTTCCTTACTTCAAATGTAAACTGGAGCTGCTACTGTGGACAATATTCTGGAAATTTCTCAAAAAGTTAAACATGGAGTTGCTGTATGACCCAGCAATTCCGCTCCTAGGTTTACACCCCAAAGAACTAAAAAGAGGTGTTCGAACAACCTGTGCACAAGTGGTTGTAGCACCACTATTCACAATTGCCAAAAGGTAGACGCTGCCTAAATGTCCATCAATTCTAGTCATACAACAGAATGGCGTTCAACCACAAGAATGATGAAATACACATGCTTCAACACAGATGAGCCTTAAACATTATGCTAAGTGAAAGAAGCAGGAGACAAAAGGACACATATTGTATAAATCAGTTTAGATGAAACATCCAGAATAGGCAAATTCACAGAGACAGAAAGCAGATTAATGGTTGCTAGGGGATGAGTGGGAGAGTGGGGAATGAGGAGCGACTACTTAATGGGTATGAGATTTCTGCCTGGAGTGATGAGAAAGCTCTGGAACTAGACAGTGGTAATGGTTGCATAACATTATAAATGCACTAAATGGCACTGAACTGTACTCTTTAGACTGGTTAAAACAGTACATTTTTATGTTGTGTATATTTTACCACAATAAAAGAAATGCCTTACCTCACAGAGTTGTTCACAGGAAGTGAGGGGCTCAGGGCTGGCACACGACCCAGGCTTCCTCCCTTGCTGTTTCCCAAGGCGCGTG